TTAATTGAGAACAAGGCATGGAAGTAGTCCCTTTGGTAATGCAGAATGGATATACAAGGATGAATTATAACCACAAGAGCTGCAACAATAGCTAAGACTTATTAGCAGTAAAACGGGAAGTACATGCTGTCTTATTAACACAAAACTCTATGCAGTAGGTGACATTGTTCCACGGCAACAAGCTCAGAGAGGCTCGGTCCTTTCTAACTGGCCTGAGGTGACCCAGCTCCTCAAATGCTCAAGAATAACACTGGGAAGATATGACCAGCCAACCACATTGCCTACCCTTAGAGACGGCCCATTTATAATTTCCTCCAAATTTCTTTTCACCTTCTACGCATATGTGAGAGTTCCCGTGACCATGGTCCCCAGTGAGGCCAGAAGTGGTACCACAGCCCTCACATACAGTCCTCAGTAGTGGCCCAGAGAAGCACACAAGACGAGTGTCATCTGCTCAGCATGACAGATGAAAAATCAGAAGCTGGTATGGCCTTGTGTCCTGTTCCCAAATCCATGCATCCAACCCCCCATCAGTGGAATGCAGAGGTTTTCTAGAAGTAATTCAGTTAAAATGAGGTCACAAGGGTGGGCTCTAGTCCAATGGGACTGGTGTCCCCATAAGTGGAGATTTGGACATGGAGACAGACACAGGAAGCCGCACGGAGAGGACCGCCATGTACACACCAAGGAAAGGCCCAGAACAGACACTCCCTTGCTACCTCACAAGGAAGCAATGCTGCCAATGCCTTGATCTTAGGCTCTGTATAGCTTGTTCTTTACACTTATTGGAGAGCTAAGGTCTCAAAGAAGTTTAGAGGAACCGAGAGCTGTACAAGACCAGCAGCCATATTCGCCGCTGGGCACAGGAGAAATGAGGAACTAATTGTCCTCCCATAGTGGTGGGCTGGATGATGGATTACACCTAGAGTGCAGGAGGCATAGCTCTACCCCACCAGACTCACCAAGCTTACCTGCCTTTTTGTCACCTTGAGAGGCAGGAGCGGACTCAGCTGTCACGCAGAGAAAGCACTGGAGAGAAGCTGAGCTTGGTAGACCCTTTCCTGATGTCCAGGGTCCTGCTTCACTCTCAATTCACATGTCCCACTTTACTCTTCACATGTCAGTGACATCCCCAATATTTCACCAGTTTGATTTCTGTCATTTCCAACCTGATGAATCTTAGCTGACATAAAGCCCAAGTCCTCACCAATTATGTATTTCCAAGTATAAGTATATGATCACACATGCAAATTTTGGCACAAATTATCAATACCCAGTTTGTGAAGAATCATGGTATCTTCCGAATACTTGCTAAAATGACCTCTGTCATGCTATAAATGATCCACACGATACTACAAAACAACAATTTTTAAAACCAATCACAACAGAATTTAAACCATAAAGTAGACATCAATATTTCACAGGCACCACTGTTTTGAACATATTCATGTTCCACTGAACTCAGTGCCACATCAAATGTTTTAGGATTCCTATTCTGAAGATGCCTTATGGCGAATTAGTCTTGTCTCACCCTATTCCTCCATTAGCCATATAGGAGGACATCCAGCACAGTACAAGAGATCGACATTCAAACTGGTACCCAAAGCCATGTAAATGGTGGCAGAACATTCTAAATTGAATCTAAATGAAGAAGATTTTAAAAAAAGCATAGAAGATAGACAAAAAGTTCTCATGTCAAAATAACCACTTAAAACTCAAGGAACTTTTCAGCATTTCCAAAGTACCATTTTGTGTTACTGAGAATAGCCGAAAAACTTTCAAAAACTCACGCTCTCACCCCCCACCCCCCAAAGAAGTTTACAGGCTCCATAATTTCATAACAAGTTCCAACCTGGAGTTTTATGAATCAGTTTATAAGGTCCTAAAAATAAGGAGCTAAAAGGAAATCATATCAGCCTGTCCCCTTACCAGGAGCCTCCAAAGTCTTCCCAAAATGCAAGGCCAGTGGTACCCAAGGAAGGAAGCGGTTCCTTCCAAGCAGCTTTCACTGTCAGTCCTCCCAGCCCTGCCCAGAGGTGCAACACCAGACATCCAGCGGCTCACCTGGTTCAACTCTCAGGTAAGTAAACAGTGTTCTGTGGAGGAAAGAGAGTCATCAGATTCCTCCTTGGCTACGTGAGCCAGGGAGGCCACTCTGAGGCTACTCTGTCCCAAGTTAGGGTAACACAAGGTCAACAGCGGGACACACTGAAACATACAGCCAGAAAGAACATGTTCCCATGGGAAATTGTGGACTAATCCAATTAAGCTTTCTAGGGAACATCAAGAGTGTATGTTGCTGGTGTCCCAGAAATTCAATTTCCCCTATTTCTAAACAAACAAAATTTGAAAGCTAACCCAAACTAGATAGGACCTGAGTATTTATTTAGCTAAGCCTATTAAAAGGTCCAGTATCTTTCTCAACATAGCAACAAAGTTTACTGAGTATTTCATGCAAAGCAAAAAAGGACCAAAAGAAAAATATAGACCTTTCTTGGGTGCCTGTGTTCCTCCACAGTATGGAAGCTAAACTTTGTACACCCGTAATAATGACACACAGCACACCAGCACCTCCCCGCAAGTCAATGTGAGATTTGGAGGCAGAAAAGGAGAGATTATTTTTGAGACAAAGCGAGAAATTTCCCTACAGCCCTGCATGGCTGCTCTTGTTTCAACTTAGTTTCCATCACATTCATCCCACCCTGATGTTGTTCATTTTATTTCCCTCATTGAAGGCTACACGGTCTATCAATAAAGTGCCCCCAAACTAATCTAAGGTACAAAGATGCAAACACAAGCATCATTTGTCATTTTGTCAGCAGTTCTCGTTATCCCTTCCCTAACCAGGATGGAAGCAGGTCACTAGACAAACATTCCATTATCTCGTCGTCAAGCGCACACGGTTTCTGGTCACGGCCTTGCAGCTGATGAGCGCTGGCTCAAGCCAGGAGCAAAAGCAAAGTGCATGCGCCCTTGGTTCACCATGCAGCCCTACTTTCGGTTCTCACCTGAGAAAATCCACTTCCCACAGCCCACAGGTGCTACTGCTCATGTTCAGTATGTCTGTCGAGGTTTCCAACACCAGCCGCCCATCACAACCATCTGGAAATCGGATGCCCAGTTGTGTCCCTGACCAATAAAAGGGGTCTGTGCAATGGAGAGGGAGCTGGGCACAAGTAGTTGTTAAAGGCTCCCCACACCTAAGAACCACTGCCTTCCAGGGATCTTGGTACCTCTGAAGCAATGCGTTCAGGTTGGCTGCAGAAAACACACAGAGGAGTGGCTAGCAGTCATTTATTGTAAAACAAATTTTTGAAAAAATATGATCCCGAGACTGACCTAGATAAGGTAAACAGCCAGTGTTTAAAATAACACACTGAGGGGCCAGGGATTTAGCTCAGCGGTTTCATCGCCTGCTGCACAAGCCCAAGGACCTGAGTTCGATCCCCGATACCAAAAAAATAAAATAAAATAAAAACACACTGACAGCAAGCCAACACTCACAACAAACCATCCAACTTACCCAAACTCCAGCTTCTTGTTAAAGGGTAACTTTTAGTTATTAGCAAGTTTATGCCACAGGCTGTGTTTTTAATCGCTGGCAATTTTACGCCACTCCCTATGGCTCCCACTTTTGCAATGGTGCACAAAGGAACAGAGAAAAACCCAAAAGGCTGGTAGAATTCTCTCTCCATTTGTGACTCAAAGCTCCCCTGCGGCTTTAGAGCAGGTCTTCTGGACCCAGCACGGTCACCTCCAAATACCCCCTACCACATGAGATCAGGAAGGGCAGAGTGGGCTGCAAGAGAAGCTTACAAATTTCAAAGTCTTTCTGCAGTGGAGTCATATCAATGTATTTCTAAGGCCAATGGAATATTAACCCAAGACCTTGCATTTTCACACGAAGATAACTTTCAACTACAAAAGCCTAACTTCCGAAGGTCAGCTGTGGTGTCCCACGATCTCCTGGCAGAGATGCCAGGCATAGCCTATAGGTTATCTGTTAAAGGGGACAGCCGCAGGCAGACTGCTGGTGACACAGCACCATGAAACATTCTTAAACACCTGACAGACAACCCACAGGCTGACCAAATACAGGCATAAAATCTAAGAGCCCAAGATTCTCGCCTGAAGCTCTGCATCAGAATCACCTGACACCCAGTCACACCCCAGACCAGTGAGATGAGGGTGATCAGGCACAGCCAAGCCCATGGCATTTTCTAAAGCAGTGGTCCTCACAGCTTCACAAGCACCAGAATCTGCAGGAGGAATGTGAAGCTACAAGGACTGCACCACCCCAGGGTTCCCATGCTGCAGGTCTGGCAAGGTGAGAACATGTCCTCCTCCCTCATTCCCAGGGAATGCTGGTACTGCTGGCCCAGGGGCCACACTTTGAGAACCACTGCTTCATCAGTCCGCCAGGCAACTCTGATTCATGCAGACAGGACTGAGAACCACTATGCTAGAGGAACAGGTGAGCTCCAGCCAGGGCATCAGGAGGGAATCCTCATCCCAGCTCTGCTACCAACCTGGGGCTTGGCAACAAATAAGGTAAATTTTTTCAGGTCTCAATGCTCCTGAAATACAAAATTGAGACACTGTGTGAACCAGATCCTGGGACCCTTGCAGAAATAAAATGACAACTTTTTCAATGGCATTTCACATGAAATGTGTTTAGAAAAGGAAATGGTACAAGGAGCAAAATAACAGCTTTAAAATACAGTCACATCCAAGTAACTACATCTCAGCCAACAATGGACCACACATGCAAGAGTGGTCCTATAGACTGTATCACCTTGTCACTTCGTGACATCCTAAGTATATTCCATGATGTTCGCACAAGGATAAAATCACCTAAGGAAACTTTTCACCCTTCCAGTGACACATGACTGTACAGGGGAAGGCACATCCTTGTGCATATCCCTTCAGTGCACTTGGGGCCACAGCAAAGGGCCAGCTGTGCCTGTGCCCCACCTAGTCATCCTGTGGCCCAGACTCACCTGTCAGTACCTTGCAGAGCTGCCCAGGGACCTGGGTCTTGGCAGACGGGCTGGGTTTCAGAGACCATTTGCGCCTGATCAGGTGCTCTCGTCCACTAAACGGGCCTCCAGAGTTGTTGAGGGGCTGAATCTGCACCTGCTCCTGCCCAAGCTGGATGATGCCCACCTGCCCAGAAAGGAGAGGCAAAAGGGACATCAATCATGCAATTCTTCCAGCCCTGAGGACTATATTGACCTGATTCAAGCTGACACAGAGCGCCTCTACTTTCTCCAAGCCTCCTGCAGGCAAATCAGATCAACCCCCAAGATCTCCCTCAACCTTTAGTCCCCAAGACACAGGGTGAGGCCATACTTAGTGCTCCAAGCAGTTTGCAAGGTTTCTATTGCACTAGAAATTTCGGCAAGAGAGACAGCTGGCAACACTTCGGCACCAGGAGAGAGCCGCCTCCAGTGGCTAGGAGGAGGTGAGCCTTCTGGGCCTCCATACCACCGCCCCCGGTGCCAACGAGCAGAGCCACCCCCAGTGCTGAGGAGGAGCCTTCCAGGCTGCCCTACCACTGGCCCCAGCACTGAGGAGCAGAGCCGCCCCCAGCACGGAGCGGGTGAGCCTTCTGGGCCGATGTACCACTGCCCCCAGGGCCAAAGAGGTGAGCCTCGTGGGTGCCAGCAGCACACACTCCCTCCCTCCGGCCCCAATGAAGTAAGAAGACACGCAAACAACTCTCAAAAGCAGACTTCCAAATCACTTAAGCAACCTCAAAGGAAAACAAGATGAAACAATCTGATACTCAGCCACCTGGACTCCCTGAACTGGAAACAAAAGAGGATCTAGAAAACATTAAATAAGACATAATTTCTCAGGTAACAGCAGATTGTGCCCATAGTGCAAGACATGATTAATAAATCTAAAGAGGACACAGATTAAAAAAGTTGAGAAGCTGAGGAACATGACGGAATCCCAACACAGGAAACAAATGGAATCCATAAAACAGATAATAACAGATTTCCAGGAGATTAAAAAGTCCATTGAAAGTTTATGCAGCAGAACGAACCAATGTGAGGACAGAATTTCAGATATAGAAGATAAGATTGCAATTAGTGACCAGGAAAAAAAAATTTCTTTAAAATAGTAAGGGACCATGTGAAATCAATCCAGCAGCTGCTAGACAAAGCAAAGAAGAATAACATAAGACTGATCTTAGTCAATGAAGAAACAGGAGAGAGTGCAGATTACATAAAAAAAAAAAAAAA